CATTAAAGGAAAATCTGAGTCATTCACTTTTCTAAGGAGTGAATTTATTAAGCTAATTAGTAATCCAGCCAGTTCTTGCACTGTGCCGCACACTGGGGATAAAGTAGAAAAGAGTATGTTCATAAAGTCTGAACTATCTAATAACAAGATCTTGCCAATTGCTAGCTGGAATCCAGTTTTCAGTTTACTAAACAGATAGGGTCACCCCCATGCCAGCTTTCCATAGTTATAGAGTAGGTGCTCAGATGTACTTCCTCTATGCGAAAGACCTCAGCTGATCCACTACTCTAATACATACCTATAACAAAATGAGATTTTACTAACCCCCAAAGAAATTGTATCAGTTTCTTTAAAGGAAACCAAGATTTTTAACTTTACCAAGAAAAGAAGAATATGCCAAGTATATAATGAGAAGTGTTTTCATTGGACACTACCCAGTCTTTTATTATTAAAAAGCATTTGTTATTTTCTAGTTAGAAAAGAAGATATAATTTGAATAACCTTCTCAAAACTGGGCTGTATTTACATTATTTTAATTATTCCCAACCCCAATTTTCCTACCTTTTAAGTAAAGATATAATAGTGTTAGTGGGGTTCTGGAGTGCTGTGGAGTCCTTCTAGAGATTCTGTCAAGGTTCTTGTTGTCCTTAATAAAGAATTGGACAAGAAATGTGCAAGAGGCAGAAAGGTATTGCATTTATTAGAGGTAGGAAAAGAAGAATGCTTTGCAGAGAGAGAGTGGGCTACTGAGAAAGACAGAGCACAGGGGCCACTTGGTTAATGGCCGCCATGTTTTGTATCCTCCTCTCCCCAGGCTGATGTCAGATCTAGGCCAACCTATCAGAAACTTGCTTGATTTCTAGAAGAACTGAAGATAGCGTTTTCTGGTTGGTCCCAGGTGTGGGGCTTTGGCACCTGTGTCCTGGCTCTCCATGATTGACAGGACATGCCCACTTGTCAAAGCCATCTGGCCATGCCCAACAGTGACTCATAAGAATCTTTAGTATTGACTAAGCTTATGATTTCCTTGGGATGGCAACCACAAAGTAAAATACATTTCTAATACCGTTTGGGGAATTTTTTAATGCCTATATCTTATACTCTGAGTAACTACTTTGAAGAGAACAATATGCAATGTATTAACTATTGTTATTCTATTTTGTTTTATTTTTTCCATAAAATAGAAAAAGAATAAAGCAGGAGACCAGGAAAAAAAAAAGTGAAATACATTCTTGATCAAAGAGACAAAAAATGAGAATTTTTTTGACCTGTGATATACATTTCTAAATTTCTTAAGTAAAACACTGTATCACTTACACTTCTGTCCATCTTGGTTCTCTTGCTGCAATCTTGACCTAACTTTGTTTTTGTTTTTGTTTATTTGAGATGGGATCTCACTATGTAATTTAGGCTGGCCTTGAACTCATGTGTAGCTCAGTTTGGCCTTGAACTCGGTGGTCCTCCTGCCTCAGCTTCTGGAGTGCTGTGATTACAGACATGCACTACCATGTCTGGTTTTGACCTTATTTTGTTTTTTAATAAGTAGAAAAGCTGCCATAGGATAAAGTTGAGGCCCAAACAACTGCTACCAGGACCTGAATTATGTTAGATGGCAGAAGTTTTGCATTTTCAGCCACAAAGAGACAAGGACATGACAATTGCAGTTCTATTTACTTGGCTTCCTCTTCTAATTAAGTTTAATTTTAATAAGGTTTTACTATAGAGGCACTGCTCTGCCTCCTCTTGCTGCTAGGGTGCCACCTGGCAGGTTTTACTCTCTGCAACTCATTTTCTTGCAGCAAAAGAAATTATCAGAAGATTTAAAACAAAACTGTGTACCCCAATCAGTTTTTTTTTTTAAACTGCAGAAATTAAAAGGCATTGTGTGTTCTGTTAAATATTTATGTAGGAGACTATTGATGTCTTCATTTGAATCTTTCTTTTCAGATGCAAATTAGACATGAGTTGAGGTAGGGGAGGTGTAGAAGCCTTCCCTTGCAAATGTTCAGGTACATGGTTCCTCCTGAACAGACATTTTATTGTTTTTCTCTTAAAAGCCTGTGTATGTAATTTTTAATGGAATCTTTATTTGACTTCTTAAAAATAGCTTCTTGGAATACTTACAGATTGTTTTATGAAGGAAGTTTGTAAAGGTTTGATCATTTAGAAAATTGCAGAATTATATAGTTGAAGTGAAGATATTTTCAGCAATCTTGAGGATATGTTTAAATTCTCATACAATATTGTATAACAAGTAGGACTTACATAGAGAAACTTATATAGCAAGTATGGGGGTGTTTTGTTTTGTTTTGTTTTTGAGACAGGGTCTTGCTATATATTTCAGGTTAGCCTTAAATTCACTATGTGGCCCAGGCTCACAGATATCTATCCTCCTGCCTCAGCTTCTTCAGTGCTGGGATTACAGGCCTGTGCTACCATGTCCAGCTGTATAAGTATCTTTAATGCATGTACGTATTTAAAAATTTCAGTTTTAAAGAGGCATAAAAGGCTTATTAGACAAAATATTTGAAGTACACACTTTAAGAAAATAGAGTGCAGACCCTTTAGAGAGGTGCCTTACAGTGTGCATCTGGGAATGTTTATGGGCTTTTGTTCATGAAAATCTGTGGAATTTATAAACCTGTAGACAGTTTGGGCTTGATTTATTGGAGAAATGTGACGGCCCACCCACAGGTATGAAGCCAGTGGCTCCTTTTACAGGTGCAAGTGTTACCGGGCTCTGGGGTCTCCTTTCAAAGGTGGTTTCTAAGTTCTTTTTATCTTTAACAAAGAACTGGACAGAAACAGTATGAAAGGTGTTGAGGTTTTAGCATTCATTAAAGGTAGGAAAAGAAACATGCTCTGCAGAGTGAATTGGGGGTCAAGTAAAAGTAAGAAAAAAAAAAATCTCTCCAGCATGAGAGCAGAGTACTGGGGAAGAAGAGGGTAACCCTGAGCTCTGGTGCCTGACCTTTCGTGTCTCCCACTCCTCAGGGTGATGTCAGCTTCATCTGCCTTATCAAAAACCTGTTTGTGTTCTCCTGAGAACTGGAGGTAGCGCTCTGTGACTCTCTCCACCTACAGGGCTTTGGGAACTGTTCTGCGTATGTGTACTGGCACTTTGTAATTGACTGGTCCAGCCTGCTTCCCCAGCCAGTTTGCTATGTCCTAATCTTCTGCCGCAAGAGGGTAGCCTGTTTTTTAGAGAAAGGCACAGCCCAGTCTACTTTGTTTGTTTGAGACAAGGTATCACCTTGTAGTCCAGGCTGACCTTGAACTCCTCATGGTGACCCTCTTGCCTCAGCCTCAAGAGTGCACCACCACACCCAGCATATTTTTTGTTTTTAGGAGACAGATTATGTATAATGTTTTGCCTAAAAATATTCTTTGAAATTTCTGAATCTATGTCTCTATCTTAAGGTCATGTTTTTTCCCTTTGTCTTATCGATAAGATGTTTATGGTCTGTAAGGGATTGTGGGTGTTATGGCCTTGAAAGAAAAATAAAATCTCATAATTTTAAAAACAGACTTGTCCTTAATGGTATAAGATATTAATTTTATTTGTTTTTTTTTTTTTTTTTCCTTTTTCCTCCCCAGAGTATTAGAATTTAGGCATTGTATTCTTTCACAAAATGTTTTTTTTATTCATTTACAGACATTAACTATTTAATTTACTTTTCAGTAAAGCTGTCTGTTATCTGCAATTTAAAAAAAAATAAAATAAAAACCTAATAAAACAAAGCCTCATTTCACAATTTAAACCTTATTGAGTCTAATTCACTGGCACTGCAAGTTTATTATTCTCCTGCAGCTTGATGTGCCTCCAGTTGTAATTGTGTTGACCCTGCAATGCATTAAATCTCCCCAGTGCTTATCAAACTGGGAGAGATAAGTCTACAACTCGCAACTTCATTAAATATCTCATTTATATTAAACACATGATAGCTTCAAACAGAAATAATAATTTGTTCCAAAGAAGGAACTGCAGCAGTTGTGGCAGTGTGCTGGGTGTGTTGGGCTGGGGTTCACTTGCTTCCCCTTGCAGCAGAACCATTTCATGGCCTTCCTAACAGATTTATTTCATTATTGTTTGTGTGGTGGTTTTGAGATAGCCTTGAACTCACTATGCAGCTCATACTGGCCTCAGACTTGCAGTGATCCTCCTGCTTCAGCCTCTTGGGTGCTAGGATTATAGGCGTGTTCCATGATATTTGGCTTTTCTTCCTTCAGTTCTGTAAAGAGTCTGTTCTAAGGAATGCCACATACTGTTTTAATTCATGGTCATAGAAATTGATTGTGTTGTGGTTGTTCATTAGCATATTGTATGTTTATCACTCATAACTTTGTGTGCTTCCTTAACAATATTTGGTGGGTCCTTGCTTCCATATTGCTGTGCAAAATGCTTGTCTCAGCTGCCCACTGCTCAGACTTAAAGGTTACAGTAAGTTGAAACGGTGATTATTCTGAATTTTTACCCAAAGAAATTCAGAGCCAGTGTATTGTTGCAGGTACCTGAGTTGACAAGTAGAGGCCACACACATGCAATTGTTGTGCTGATTGTTGGGTGTATTAAGCATTCTGTAGACACAAAAATTACAGTGGAAGTCTAGTTTCTGTTCTTGCAGTGCATGGCTGCTAGAGAGCAGCAGCCAGTAAAGAATTCTAAATTAAACTATAACTTAAATTGACTTCAACAGATACTAACAGTCAAACTGAAAAAATAAGCAACAAGATGAGATTAAAAAGGGAGCTTTTAATAAACATATTTTTCCTCCGATGGTTGAAATCTGACAGAACTTCATGGGAGGCACGGTGTAAAGTGGCACAGAAAGTTGGTCATTAGGCACAGCTGTCATCACAAATTATTTTGGTACAGGGTGAAAAGTTCTAGTTCATTTGGTACCCAGTTGGATGCAGGCCTTGGGCAAGTTGTTATAATTCCCCCATGCTGAGAGTGGGCCGCCGGTACTGACTCCTTCCGTGCCTCCCCTTCTGTCTAGCTGAGGTCACCTGGGAGCCCCCCTGGACCTGAGCTGCCCATCGAAACCGTGCTGGATGACAGAGAGCGAAGAATTTCCCATTCCCTCTACAGCGGCCTCGAGGGCCTCGATGAATCGCCCACCAGAAACGCGGCGCTCAGTAGGATAATGGGTGAGTCAGGTAAACTGTTTATCTCATCTCATGTTTGTGCCTTCACTGGTTCACAGAGAGGTTATTAATGTAATATTAATGTAAAGGAGGCCTGTGTTTTCCAGAGAAGAGAGGTTCGTTGCAATCACTCAGGAAGTGTTAATGTGGAAAGAGGAAATCAATGCATTGATTTGTTAAGTGGGTTTTAGATCGCATAATGCGTGGGGAGAGCAAAAAAGAAAAGGATCATAAAGAAATGCTTTTCAGTGATCGAGATATTTTAGCTTTTGGGAGATAAGTGAAGCTGTGTTTTTTAAAAATCAAAATGTAATAGTTCATGGTGAGAAGGATTCATAAAGTTGTCATTCACTGCACTGCCTGGAGGGACAGGAGAACTGTGCCCACAGAGACTCACATCTACATGAAATGTTCCCATTTATTTGGTTTGTACTTCATAGGATACAAACATGTCTTAATTGCACTTCTAATTCTTCACAGCTTTAGTTTTCAGTCCTGAACTAGTCTTCTGTAGCCTTTGTTTGGATTCCACGCCACACTGTCTGCATGGCCCCCGGTGGGTAATGAAGTTATTAGCACTCACTCTGCAGCAGTTCAGCCCTCTGCTAACAGATCCAGCTAATAAAGACTTGCTGGCCACAGGAGTGGTCGGGTTGTAAAGAACTGCCCTTCTTGGGATTAGCTTACAAGGTTTTTCAAATTTAAAACCTAAGTTGCAGTTTTGGTTGAGATAACACCTGACATAAAACACTTGCATTGCTGGTGTATTTTGCAAGTCTCTCATTTAAAGTAAAACCCTAAATTTAACTCTATTTTGAGGACTAATCATAGAGATTTAATATAATTCAAGTTTCCATTGTGGAGCTTCATTGAAACAATAATTGGTTTAATTCATCCATGGTGCTTAATGAAAGACTACCAATGGGTAGATGGTGGTGTGTACACACTTTCGCTGTAGACACAAAGATGAATATGAAACAATTTCTGCCTTCAAAGAATGGGGCATGATAGAAAAAAATACATTAAGATGAGTAGGAAATTTTTCTTTCTGCTAATCCTAGCTTTCTCTTTTGGAAAAACTGCTAAATTCTCAATTTCTCATCTTGTTACACATAGAACTTGGAAATGCCAACTCTCTGGTTTTACTCTGTCAGCATTTTTCTTTGTACCTGCTTGACATAAGAGAAAGTCAAAGAAGGATGTTTCATCTGTTGGCTTGAACACCTGCTGGGAAGGCTTTTTACATAGTTTATTACTATTAGTTATTATTTATCACTGTTTGAGTGCTGTTGGATTTTCCATACTTTCTTGGCTTTGGTGTAAAATTTATTTGTGTTGAATTCTTTTCTACTGATGAAATTTCAGACCCCTTGAGAGAGAAGAGTGTGTATGAGTGCATTGTGTCCCTAGATCTGCGTGCATACAAAGTGATACGCTGTAATTTCCCCTTTATTATAGGAACATAGGACTTGCCATACTGAATCAGACCATTGGTCCACCAGTTCCTGTAAGCTGCATCCTGCCTCCAATCCCTGATGCTTCAGAGGAAGGCGGAAACCTAAAACTAAAAACCAAACCAAAAAACCCTTCCAAGTTCTCACATAGTGACTTGTTGATGTGCGGTACATACGGGTTGAGGAGCCCTTGTTTTCTCGGTGGTCTCTCACCAGATTTTGCTAGCTGTGGCTGTGTTAGTCCTCTTTGGTTTGTGTTCTAGTTGTCATTGCTCCCTCCTCCCTCTACTAGGTGTGGGATGAACCCTTACACTCCAGATCCTCCCTGCACCAGTGTTTCCCCTCCCAGTTCCATGCTTTGTGATATGCTGTGGACGTTCATTTACCCTTTTGGCTGGGGACAGGGGTGACAGATTTATTACCATTTGATAGCACGCTGGTAGACATTTTATGATTGGCCTGTTAAGATAGTTTTATGTTGTGCTGGCAACTATATATCCGATGTAGTTTTTACCTTGAGAAATGTATATGGTTAAGTTGACTGATCTTGCATTTTTCAAACCTGAGAACTGTGCAGTCTATGTCAGTCCTTATCCTGGAGTCTCTGACCCTAAGAATCAACTGCTGTTTATGAAGTTAGTTAAAGTTCAGAGTTAGATGTCCTGTAAAAGATGTGATCTTGCAACCAAATACCAAAACACGGTGCCACATATTTGAAAGTAGTGAATTTCTGTTAGCTTACATGAATAGCACCAGTATTTATTGAAGCGTACCATGTCTAGGTCCATACAAATTTCTCAGATCCTTGTTTAATGGTTATCTTTATACATTAGAGTCACTCCCGGGTAGATGGCTACAGATGTCCTGGTATTCCCTGTGTGATCTGGTATGATGGGAAGAGAACTCTATCTTGAATTTCTAAGTGATTACAATAAAAAGTGAGTAATTTTATATGAAGAGAGCAAATTTTCACGTACATTATTCCCTAGACCAAAGAGAATTTTGAGACCTTCTAATCTATTTCTGTGGGAATATATCCCTAGAGACAGGCATCTAAAAAACACCAAAAAAAGGAACAGACTTCTACTTGGAAGGACGTTAGAGGTTCACAGGGTACACACTTTCTCACTTACCAAATAGAAGAATGAAGTCCCAAGATCCTATGATGATTTTTGTTGTATATTGCTTTTGGCTGGTTCCCCTTTCTAGAAATAGCTCTCTCTGGGGAATTTGAGGTCACGTATTAATTGTGAACCCTTTATTGACATCTATTAAAAGTGTTCATTCTTTAAGCGAAGGAATTTGGTAATCTCAGGAATGCATTCTGGCCAGGCGTGGTGGTGCACATCTATATTCCCAACACTCGCAAGGCTGAGGCAGGAGGATGACTATGAATTGCGACCAGGATGGGCATAGTGAACAGAAGGTCATCCAGAGCTACATAGCAAGACCTTGTCTCAAAAAACCAGGGAAGCAAAAAGAGAACCTATTTCCATCCCGGCAACCACTATGATCTAAAAATTAAAGTTCATCTTTGACGTAACTTTAAAAATCATGTACTCCATTTTACTTCTGTTTGTGGCGTTAGAGACCAAAGAAATGAAATGGCTTGACTGACTGAACCTGCATGTTCTCTTTGTTTTTTAACCTAACTATGGGTATAGGTTTTCTGGGTTGTGAGTCCCACATTACTCATACCTAACCTATCTTTGTGGCTGTGGGTGGCATAGATCAGAATTGTTGCCAAGGGCAGGCTGTCTCCAGATGTCATATATTTTTGACTGGATTTCCTCTGTTATGAATTTTAGAGGAGCCTCATAGATTTATCAAAATGTTTACAACTGTTAGATCACTTTATCTAACAGAGAAATCCTACACATGGCTAATTTAACCAACATGATCAATCCATAAACTACATTACAAGTTGATATTTGGGAGCAGAGAACCTTGATTTCTTCCCCAACTTTTTTTCTGAACAATTTTTGTTTAAAGCACAAAGTGAAATCTCATGTATCCATTTCAGAATGTATCTCAGTGGTTTCAATATTCATATATTTGTGGTGAGTTTTAATAATGATGATGTTCAGAACATTTTCATCTTGTTAGAAATTTGACATAGAAAAATGAGCCATTAATGTTGTTTCTATGAGTCCTAGCACTGGCACAATTTTCCTCCTTTCTTCTGTTTCCAGTATCATGCATGGTGTTGCATTCTATGTAAATTTTCCAATGAATAAATGTTTAGTAAACAAACATCTTGTATCTCATTGTCTTACTATATTGACTGGTTTACTTCTTAGTTTGTACACATTGATTAATTCAGGATAAAAGATATTTTGTCCATCAAAAACAGATCAAAACCTTCTCAAATCTTTCTTCAAAGGTTTCATACTTAGATGTGTGATATCTATGCCAACTACTAGCAAATATAATTAAGAGATTATGGTTTTATCTTGGTAAAGCCCAGAAGAATATATAGTTAGATGACTTTGTTGTTCATAACCCACTTTATCCCTAGAGCCATATTTCCTAAGAAATATATCTGGCAAGCATGCTAAGAAGTGGAAAATTAATGGAAAATATGAATAATCATTTTTTTGGAATACTAGCCTCCAGCATCATGGTTGGGAAAACATGCTAAATTCCTGTCTTCTTAGACAGACCTCTTGCCATGGATGTGTGTATAAATTTTTGGGCCATTTACAGTCCAATATTTCTACTCAGAACATTACAGAAAAAGGATTTATCGTATGAGTTAATCAGTGTGCCCTTTTACTTATTGGGCTGTCCCTCAGAATGTGTCAGTACAAGGGCTTTTAGTTTTTTGTTTAAAAATGTGTGCACTATGATTATTCTGTGATTCTACCTTCAATAAATTATATCTGGGTGAGGACTTCGTTAATGCTGTGACATGCTCCTGTGTTCCGTCACTGTGAAGTGTCTGTCGGTGGTAACCCTGGCTTTATAACTTCATGTATTGCTGTAGAGGGCCGAAAGGTCTGTCTTCACAGGGAAATACATCTTTGGCCTTCTGTGCTAGAATGTCCTAATTTCTGAGTGTTTTTTGGTGAACAGGGTTCCAAACTAATATCGTAAAACTGAGTAGGAATGATTGAGTGACTGAAAGTCAAGAAAGACAAATGATCATGTTTTATGTTTGATTTGCATCCATATCATGAGCATTCATACAAAGCTGCTGGTTTTCCTAGTTTGTCAGAATGGTTCATTTGATATCAAAGTAGAAACTAGAAACAATGGTTCATTTGATATCAAAGTAGATTTTTCTAGAAAGGATGCCAGTGAAATTTCAGTGAGCATGTCATGTTACTGTAATAGAGTAGTTGATGCTAAATAATGAATATATTTGAAATTTCTGGCAAGTTGCTTTTGTGGGCTGTCCTGGAAAGATACACAGTTATTGTGCTGAAATAGCTAGAAAAATATATTTTGTACTTAATAAAATCCTTCAAGCCTATATATGCCACCCCAAAAATTCTTATTATGAATGTTCATTTTTAAATGTAGATCCAAAACTCATGTTAATCTTCCTGTCTGAATTGCTCTTGTGCTATTTTGAATAATAATTTATAACAAAGGAAAAATATACTCTGTGTAAAACCATGCTAGGTTTTGGGAAAGCAGCCTGCCTTTTACTTGGGTCGAGCATGTAGAGCTGATTTAACAGATTTGAAAACTGGACTTTCAGTGAGTTTTCTATCTCCTGTGAGGAAGACAGGGACATTGTTGGGTCGCCTTGCTCTGTCAGTATGGGCTACTGGGCCATGTGGTGTCATAGTGACATTACTGTGAGCATGTCCTCGCCTACGATGTTGATGTGGACCAAAGACTTGTCAGCTCACTTCCCCTCAGAAGAGGCATGGCCCAGGATTGTGGAAGGAAGCTGCAAGACTTGTAGATGATTTGAGGGGAAATATGACATTATTTGGACTCCATCTTTAAGCATTCAACACCTTAAAACATAACTCTGTCCTTGGAAATGTCGTGATACGTGAAGGACCGCCATGCTGACCTATGAATCTGAGCAGATGGCCTGCGAGAGACTGGACAGTTGTGGATCTTTCCTTTCCTGGAATACTGTCCTCGCTGAGTAAACGTGTAGGCTCTTCAGTCATGGCCCCAAAACATCCAGGACAACCTGAGCCTTTTTGTTATTTAACTTCAAGGTCACACTTGTCACCTCCCCTGCCCTAGGCCTTGGTTCTGAGAGTGTCTTTGAAATGTCACTGAATGCAGAGTGGGCCTTTCTTCATTATGCACTTAATGATGTTGTTGTGGATGTCCAAAATGCATCATTTCTTGGAGAGGAAAAGGTCAACTTTATCATTCAGAACCCAACTCCAAAGTGAACATCTGTTGAGATTCCCAGTGCTCAGAGTCCCCGGCTACCCAAGCAAAAGTGAATGTTAGGGGGTTTTCAGCCGACCTCCCACACTGCCACATGCTTATCAGCATGTCTCCTTTCCCACCAGGCCGTGACCTCTTCAGGAATATAGATTTTGTCTTACTGATCCTGCCTGGCATGTAGTAGTTGCCCATTGAGTGTGTGGATGAGTGAGTGAAGTGTGTTCCTAGGGCTTGCCTCTAAATCTGCAACGTCTTTTACAGCTTAGGTTCTACAGTTTAGAAGACACTTTGTTTTTGCTTTTGTATTTTTTCTGGTCGCGGGAATCAAACTCACGACGTCACGCTTGCCAGGCAGGTGCTGTGCCGCTGAGCTAAATCCCCAGCCCGTTAGAAGACATTTTGAAGATCATCATTGCCTTTAGGAAACCTAACAGCAGAGGAATTCCGTACTGTTCCCTTAGCTACATAGCCATCATGTGAGAAGTAGTCAGATACAGTGTCTGACGATTATTTATAAAAAATAAATGTGCTTAAATTCTACTCTGTTCTAGTGGGTTAAGCAGACGCGTGGAAGTTTAGATGTTTTCTGCTATAGCCAAATATTAAAATTAATAGATGTAGCACTTAGTTCGATGTCTAGAATTTCTCTTGTTCTTCTCTCCACTGGACAGGTAAATACCAGCTGTCCCCCACCGTGAATATGCCCCATGATGACACTGTCATTATAGAGGATGACAGATTACCTGTGCTTCCTCCTCATCTCTCTGACCAGTCCTCTTCCAGCTCCCATGACGATGTGGGATTCGTGACTGCAGATGCCGCTGCGTGGGCTAAGGCTGCAATCAGCGATTCAGCCGACTGGTAAGCACCTAGTCCAGAGTTGGCAAACACTAGTTAATTGCAATCACCTTTTATTTTATGTTTTATGTGGCATCTCAGTGAGCACAGTTAATCAATTCTTTATAGCAGTTTTCATTGCTTTTATACTCTTAATTATCACTCTTTTTAATAAATTATACCCCAACCCTGTAAACTTGCTCAGATTTTAAGTGCTCAGCCTTTAAGTGCTGAGGGTAATACTTTAGCCAAAACAACAACAAAACTACCACTAACCAAAAAACCCTACTCATTCCTTTTTAAGTTTTGTTCTTTATTATTTATTTTAGCTCTGTGTTAATTGGATGAATTGTTGTTCTAGTAAATGAATAAATCTGAAGCAAACCCCCAAGTTCAATGCAACAATGAGGTGCAAAACTAACAGATACTGTGTTTTGGGAATGGGAGGCGGCTTTATTAAGATTTTTTCTACAGTGCAACTACTGTTGAAAATGTTCCCTACTTCTAATGTGGTGATTTTTAGGGCAGTCTCATTGCTGTTCCTTTCCTGTGTCTTTCAAAGTAGGAGACAACATTTGATATTATTGAGTCAATGTGTGGCTCACAAATGTGAAGGTGCCTTAGTCTACATGCCTAGAAATTATATACATTAGTAAGCAAAGGGAAAGGCCCTCTTGTAAGGTTGAAGCAGTCATCATTACAAACCATGTGAAGTATTAGACCAGCATTTTCGTATTGCCCTTTCTCTGGGGTCCTTTCTGAATGAATATATCAGCTAAATCGTACTTACAAATGCTAAGAGTTCATTTTCATTCTTTCTCTGCTTATCCAGTTTTATACTTCCTGCAATTTTCTGGACTTGTGTCAACATTACTACACTGACAGTCATTTGTGTGAACATTTTAGCAACATATTAACAAAATAAAATACTCCCCTGGTTATTTTGCCCCCTTTCCCATGTAAATTCACAAAGGTCTGGTGCATTTTGCGGTAGGTTCTGCAGGTGTTTTCAGAATAAGTTCACCTGTTATTTGGGCCTCGAAAAGTTCATCTACAGCTTTTCTTTCTTTCTTCTTTAATTCTCTTTTTGAAAATGTGGGGTGCAAAAATACAGCTGTGTTCAAGCTTGCATGATAATAGTTCAGCTTTGAAATTTTTTTGGCTAAATGTGGGGAGAGCCATAACACAAGAAAACACCCCCTTTGAAATCCACAGATGTGGATGCACTGCCACGGTTAGTTTCTTTCCCTCAAAGGGAGAGTAGCAACAGAGAAAGTAAGGTTTAGATCTATGCAGCGTTCATCTTAGGGACAAAAGCTTTTGAATCTCTACTGTGTAGAGAAGCTATGGAGGCAGTCACAGGAGTAGATGTGTTTGGGGCTTTATGAAGCCCCACATGGTGAAAAGAAATATCTCACAGGGATAGAGTGTGGCATTAATTTCCCTAAGGGGGATTTGCAGAAATGGGGAGGACTTGGGTGGCTTCGGTGTGGTGAGTGGGGTTGAAGGAAAGAATATGCACCAAGGGTTATCCAAACAAGCACCGCAGCTGTCCTGCGTCACAGCAGAAAGAGTAAGCTCCTCCAGTCACACAATATCTCCCTCATCTTTGATGAAAATGTTAGGAAAACAAAAGGGCAATAAGACAGGATTAATAACCAGAATTTTAATAACGTTGGGGGTCAGGATGTGGTTACATTCTCCAAAGAATCATCTGTCAGTCCTGCTGTCTTAACTTGTTTAATATCCTAGTATATTGTTTATTGTGTCTGAAATTACTTTTTAAATGGTTATATTGATAGAGAAGAATTAATTATGGCATAGTTTAGGAATATTTAGTAATTTTAAGACATTTATTAACTCCCCAACTCATTTGACATTTTCGATTTTGTCTGTTTACAGTTCACTGCATAATTGGGGAAGGCTAAATATGTCAAATGGCTAAACTTCTAATTTGTTAATAGTAGAGTATACTTTTTTCAGTTCATTAGTTGATTTAGGGAACATTAACAGTGTTTTTTTGGTGGGGTATAACAGCAAATTCTAACTTCAATGGCAACATAAGTTCAGAGGATATAAAATTAGTTGTAAAATATGCCAAGTGGGGATTTTAGGCAACTTGAGCAGTGACATTTTATATTTCTTTGAAAAATGTTCGCCTGAGATTTCTGTTAAAGCTATATTTCTTATTCTTTTTGTCCACAATTTTGAGGCCTTTCTGGAGATCAGACTTTAAAGTTCTGTGTAACACCAGAATAAAAAAAAAATTGATAAATAGAATGATTGAAGAGAACCACATGCACAGTGGCATATGCTTGTAATCTTGATACTCTGTGAGGCTGAGGCAGGAGAAATCCAGATGTGTGCCCAGCCTGGGCAATTTAGCAAGACTTATGTCTCAAAATTTAAAAAAAAATTTGTTTTTAAAGGGCTGGGGATGTAGCTTAGTGTAAAGACTCTGGGTTTATTTCTTAGTACCAAAACAGACAAAACAAATAAACAAAGAATTACTGTTACTGGGAATATGTTATAGTTTGCAGCTGCAGAATTGGGTCGTAGTTCTCATGACATGGGTTTGAGTCTTCCACTTGTAACACTGTTTCTTTATTGATGTGCTTTAGCAATCGAACACTGTCTGTGCCAAAGCATGGGCTACAGTATGTGAAATGGACACCGGAAAACTCAAGATAAACCTGGTCCTGCTCCTTTGTGGAGCATGACATCTATTAAAAGTTTTGGAGAAGAAATAAGGATATTTAAAATGAAAAGATTTAAAATAGAACACAAAGTGACACTAATATAGAACATTGTATTTTATGAAAATATAAGACAAAATTGTTTTGGCCTTAGGCTGAACTCCCAGGCCCTGTGCGATTCATCTTCTCTCTGTATTCCTGGGCCAGGCCTGGGTGAGCCCCAGGAGGCTCCAGAGGTAACATTGAGGGAGTTGACCCTGTGCTCACGTGATCTCAAGAGGGGACACTTCCTTACAGTCTGAGCCTTGAGCACCTGTCACACTTCACTCTTGAGCCCTGCCCTGCTTGTCAGGCAAGACTGAGGAGGATTGTCCACTTCTTCTATATGGTTTTGAAGATGCCATGGTTTGAATTACTTTGATAAGTAGAGGTAGACAGTCTCTGGCTGGTAGTAACTCATTTTGTTGAGTGAGTTGAGGTTTATGCAGGGCTTGCAGCTTACATCCTTGAATTCTCCCATGAACTTTGAAAGATGGGTAGGCAGCTGTTCTCTTTGTTGAGCATGCGGAGGTATATAGACTCCAAGCAGCTCATGCACCTTAACCTAAGGGCAGAGGTTTCCCATTGGAGTCTTGCTCTTCATAACCTTTGGCTTAGCTCTTCTGAGAACCAGCTGTCATTTCCTGCTAGTAATTTGCAGCTCAATTTTTATTTTTATTTTAGTTCTGGGAATTGAATCAGGGTTTCTCTACCACTAGATATATCCCTAGCTTTCTTATGTTTTATTCTGGGACAGGGTCTCTCAACTTGCCCAGGTGGCACTCAAATTTGTAATCCTTTTGGCTCAGCCTCTGAAATGCTGACAGCCTTTAGCTAAATTTTTGCTGTCTATACAAACTAGATCACTGTCTTTTTAACAACATAAATGATACTAGTCTTAAGAAGCTTGCTTCCATCAGAAACATCTGGCAATCTGTCATTAACTCAGCTGAGTGGAAGGAGCCCCTGCACACCCTCAGGGTGTGCGTAGGCTGTGGACAGCTGGTCTCCTACCTGGCCAGGTAGGTAAGGTGGCTCCACCCTGATAGTGGAGAGCTGGTGTGTTCATTTACTCAATGTGTCCAGCAGAGGAAAAATGTTTTCATAGTATGCACTGTGCTTGGAGCACCTGGTAGCAAAATGTTGGCAGAGTTTTACAGAGTAGAAGTGATTCTCCATCATCTCCAGGCATTTCCAATGGACATGGTGGAGTCATCCTGTCACCAGGGATTGGCCATATGCTTCCTTGTGATCTTCAGTTGGGCCACTGTACTGGTGTCACCCAAATCAAATGCCATCTAAATTTAGTCCTGCTTTTCTCATATGCTGCTAATCCTTTCATCCATGCATCTGCAGCCTCTGTTTCAGACTTCTTCTTAGTATCCTCCTTGTGAGCTTGTAGTACTCAAGGATCTTTTCTTTTTTATTATTTTGACTTTGGTCTACTCAGTATAACCTATTCCCCTTGATCAGAATAGGTTCCCAAGCAGATTGGTTGAGTTGAGTTCTTTTTCAGTTGAATAACCATTTCAGAGAAACTAAGTCCTCATGAAGGTGTTCTGTTTGTTTTGTTTTTGTTTCCTTTTCTGAAACACAAGATACAGATGTGTATGAGAGCCAGAGTGCATCCTTTTTGAAACTAATTTCTAGCTGCAATTAATATGATCACTTATTTGCTTCCAGTATATGTGTATGCCTGGTTTCCTCAAATATTCAGTCCTTCTAATGTCTGGCAAATAACAGACTCATTTTTTGTTTGTTTATTTTGTTTGTATGTTGATGTATTTGTTTGGTGCTGGAGATCAAATCTAGGGCCTTGAGAATGCTAACCCAGTGCTCTACCTTTGGCCGAGCCCCCAGCCCTTCATGTGTAGCCATCATTTACAAATAATGTTTAATCAAAGGGAGTGAAGAAACAAAGAGAGGTTAGAAGAGAAACAAAAAATTCACAAGTAGAGAGTGTTACTCTGAATATTAAATTAATCTTGGACTTTTAAAAAAATGAACTGCATATGTATTATTCAGTTTAAAAATTTTTTGAGGAATACACATGTATGCATATTCACACAGAGCATGTATAACTTTTCTGAATTGGATGTCTGCTTCCTTAGTAACAGCTGCTTCTTTTGTCTTCTCTTCTCCCCAGCTCTTTGAGTCCAGATGTGGATCCAGTTCTAGCATTTCAGCGGGAAGGATTTGGACGCCAGAGTATGTCAGAAAAACGCACAAAGCAGTTTTCAGATGCCACTCAATTGGATTTCGTTAAAACACGAAAATCAAAAAGCATGGATTTAGGTAGTGAGTACAATCTCCATGAATCTTTATCTAAATAAGGTTTAGATGCTTCTAGGATAAAATTGATGGTCCCGAACACATGTGTGTTTGCGTTGCGCACTAGAGGAAATAAATATGAAATGTGGCAATTTGGCAAATTAGTTTTTCTCTGCGTTTGAGATAACCGTATTACTTATAAGTGGCATGTTTACAGAATATGCAATATGTTAATATATGTTTTCTTGTGAGAAAGGAAACAAACACATGTGCATATCATGCTAGATTCATGTATCTTTATTTTATAACTTGAAATGTTTTATGCTCTGTAAAAAGCAATTTCATTGAAATTGCATTCGGTTTGTTCTGGGATTTTTGAACTAGAAGACAAAGTTTTGGAGAGAAATCATTATCTCAATCCATGTCTAGAATTTGATTTATGATACCTTCCTTTCATTGCTGTTCTTTAAGGTTTGTTTATTAGAACCTCTGTTTTGATAACTAAGGCAATTAATAAAATTAATAATTAGAGAGAATATTTATCATAGAAACTATTTGGGAACAAATGAGAGGAGGAAAATTACCGTAATTGTTTAACCAGACACCAATCAGGTAGTGTCTCTCTTTAAATCCAGATCCACCAAAAAAAAGTAAAATAATTAATTGTATCTGTAAACTGAATGATTTTTAAAAAACTTTTGTTAATCAACTGTAACTTGTGCTGTTCTGTGGTGGCTGTTTGTATTTTAAGACTAAAAGTATTAATTTGTCACAGGCACATAAGAAAATGTGATGCCCAGCCTTGGCTAATTACAATATGCTAACATACAAATAACACACATGTCTGTGAATGAAATGACTGGCATACTGCATGGAGGCACTGCTTTGTTTTCCCTCTCCTTTTATTTTTGATTATGAATGTTTGCTCGATATTTTATATTATTTGCATGAAATAGTACCTAAGGATTGTCACCTAACTGTAAAGATCTGGGAATGATTGAAGCATGTCGGGCCGTGGGAACTAACTGGGCTAACCATTATACATTTACCTTTTAACAGTAGCTGACGAGACTAAACTCAATACAGTGGATGACCAGAAGACAGGTAAGAATGGACAGTTGAGATTGTTGCCATAGAAACTGTGGTCCAAGGAGCTTATCACAGTTACAGAGCTGCCAATCATATTGCATGTAAACATAAGTATTCCAGTCTTGCACAGATGCTTTCATTGTGGGAAATCAAATTGTGCAAGAAAAGAAAAATTTTCTGTTAGAAAAATTTATCAGTGGTATACATACTAAATGAAAACACAATGTAGTACCCCACAAAAGTTAAAAACAACCTTCATTTTCTTAATTGTATTTGTATAGGAATATTTTTGTCATCACCTAAAAAAGCAAGCAAAATCCTAGAAACATGTCTGTTATCATAGACCAGTAATGGTGAGCATTTTAGAGACTGAGTGTCCAAACTGCAACTCAAAACACACTTATTTATCGCAAAGTGCCAACACTGGAATTAAACCTGAATACTGTTTTTACTTTAGAGAAAACAACTCATGCATTAACATCTTTTGTCTTCAAAACAACCTGCGTGCCATAGAACACAGAATACTATTAGATTATTCAGTTTTTAATCCAGTGATGTCTAGATTACATCCAGTTCTCAAAGTGGTAATTTTGATCTAAAAGATAAGATTGCCAATATAAACATTTTTGAGCAGAATGCTCCATACTGCTACCTAGGTCACTCAGAAAACCTTGGTTCTTCTTCGGATGCTGGAATTTGCTCAAATTTAACCTGAAAGTGGATTAATGCGTATGACTGGCATACCTTTACTTTTGAACTTTTAAAAAGTTCATTGCTATTAAAATATTGGTAAATCATTTCACAGAAACTATGGATTGTATTGAACTGGGTTTTGCACTATAGTACATTTTATTTTATTTTTTTTTAGATTTTATTTTTTATGTTATTTTACGATAAATTGGAGGAAAGTCTTTGCATATAGTTTCAGTGATATTCCTTGTACAATTGAGCATTGTGATTTATTATTACAAGTTTAGAATTCTATTTTAATTATTATAGATCCAAATAATATAGTCGTATTACTTAGTACCAATTAGCTTTAATTGGCCGTTTTAACCTGTAGTAATAATTAGTTTTAGCCTGCTTGAAAAAATGTGTACTCCACATTTATTTAATATTCAAAGATTATTGTGGACATGGTTGGAGTTAGCATATTCTGTACAGTAAAAGATATATTATAAAAATTAAATCCGATAAATCATAAGATTAACTGGATTGCAAGACAATCAATTATAACCTTGGCCCATACTAAGTAGTTATTTTCTTATCAAACATACAATTCACTGAAATTGTGAAGTAGGAATATAGAAGAAAATTATTTGATAGTTTACGTATATGAAATAGGGCATTATTATTGAACTTAGTAGTAGTTAATATTTTTAAAGAAACAACTCCTGTCTTAATAGTTCTAAAAACCAAATTGAACTGCTTAGGTTAAAGGACAGGACTTATATACTGTGCCTCTTAGGCCAAACAGGGGAGATGCTTCATGTAATCAGCGTGAAGCTGCAACAAGGAAAAGAACAATTTCATGTAAGTTAAAAAATAATGATATCCAGCCTTTAACTGAATTACATGGCAAATGAGCAAATTTAATAATCTAATCAGACTGCATATTTTTCTGTTTTAGAATGTTAGGTCTTAGATACAAAGAACATATTTTGGCACTAGGTGCAATCTGTCCTACCAAGTTAAAAATGGAAGATCTAGGGACAAAAAATTATTACATAGACACCAAATTACTTTTTGGTCTGTTGGTTTTGAATCTACATTAATAAAATATCTGAATTAGATTCTCACCACCCAGTATTAGACAGTGAACGTATTTTCAGTCATTTTTTTTCTTTATCTTCCTTAAATTTTCAGGATTATAATAATTTCACAGTTTAACCCCAGGCTTGTTTGGGGGACTCATAGCGACATGTTAACATATATTACTTGTCTTGACCTCAATCTGTCATAATGAAAACTGAGTCTGGTTTCTCTTTGCCCCTTGCGGAAGGCGCCCTGCACTGTGTGTTTGTGTCGCTGCTTTGGCAAGAGGGGCGTTAGGAGGTAGGATGAAAACCTTAGGTCTAGGGCTGGAGATGTAGCTCAGTGTGAGGCCCTGGGCTTGATCCCCAGCACCACAAACTAACAAAATTAGACCTCATGAAAGTGGTATGGTTGTGATTTACTCTTACTCCCAGGTGTAGGGATCTTATATTTCTGAGGAAAAAAGCAAACAGAAAGAGAATTGAGTTTTTAATAGTTTAATCCTTAAAATACAAAAAAATAACCAAGTATACTCAGTCTTCAAGGTTTGTATAAGAGTTTTAAAGTAAAAATAAAAGATACTGATTTTTTTGTACAGATAAAACTAAATTATCTTTTACCCATACTGTTTATAGAAAACTACTTTTCTAGTTTTTGTTACTAGTAAATGCAAAGTTTACAATGTTAGAAATCTCTGTAAGCCTCATTGGGGAATCTTAACATGTCACATAAAATGCTGCTTAAAGAAAATGCAGTACTGAAATGTATGCCACCCATGGTATAGATGAAGAGTGGATAGATCTTTCTGGTAAAGACTGGGTAGTAAGTGTTTTAAATTGGTGGTACGGTCTCTAGCACCTGCTTGTGCAGACGTAGACATGTAAGTAAACGGACAGGGCTGTGTTCCAATAAAATTTCCCAGGTTTAGCCCTTGGTTTGCTGATCTCTGTGAAAGATTCATAAGTTATACTATTGACTTCTTTATATAACTTACTATTATAAAATTTTTGAACCATGCATAAATGTAGAGAGAGTAGTTAACTGACCAGTCATGAACCCAGTACTCACCATTGACAATGATCAACATTTTCTAAAATATTACAGCACAGTTTTATACATTTCAGGAAAGGGGTAGATTGTAAAGCTCTGAGTTAAACTACTTTTTGGGGGGTGAGGGAGACTAAGTATTCAACCTAGGGCCTCATGCATCCTTTGCCACTGAGCTACCCTTGACGACTAGCTCCATCTGTAAAATCATTATTGCTCATTTAACTGTAGAGTACTTTCAGCATTCTTTTGCTCTGTAGATTTGCTTGTCTATGCTGAGCGACACTCAGTTTTACTAAACGCTCATGCCATTTCTGAAATTCATTATGAAAAATTTTATTGTTCTGAGTACATAAAGTAAAAATCTCAATAACTTCTCAACAAAAAGCTTAACATATGTAATAAATGATACTTTTACCATACTTCTTACTGACAACATGGAATCTTAATTGGAGATATATACATTCATAAATACACATATCCATGATAAACCCAAGAAAATTCCAAATATTTACCTAATACATATTTTATAGAACCCAAATACAGCTGGTTAAATTATGAAAATGGATACCATAATTTATTTGAGAAAGCTTTTCCCAATGCTAATTCTAGGGAGCATAAAGGTAAATATCCCTGCTTAGGAATAGTCCTTTTTATTTCTTAATTTCTTACTTTTCTTACACCCATCATTGAGGAAATATTTTAGAAAAAAATTCATTTTTTCTTGTAATAGTAACTTCTGTGAGTAATTTGGAAAATGTATCTGTCAAAAATCATAGTGCTGGGGGGCTGGGGATTTAGCTCAGCGGCATAGTGCCTGCCTCGCAAGTGCGAGGTCGTGAGTTCAATTCCTGGTACTGGAAAAAAAAAAACCAAAAAACATAGTGTTATGAAGATAGAAAGTGAGTAATCTTGACAAATATTTTGTGTGAACTTTTGTCATAAAATAAACAATAAAATGTACATAAACCTCCACTGAGAAACCTTAAATACGTCCTCGTTTCTCCCAAACATAATCATTTATGGGACATTATTTTATCATTAGAGTCCTGTGTCTCCCATCCTGCCTATATTTTAGCATACCTGTTCTTACTTAAATCTAGCTATTCCATTGTGAAAATTAGCTGAAGGATGTAACATAAATGAATCTTAAAAAGATAACTCTTGTTTTGACTCTCGATTTAATTTTCATTTCATTTTCTATTCTGAGCTATGGAAAGCTCATGTCAGAACTATTTGTCTTCTAGGTAGTAACATGACACAGCTACTACTTAATTATTGATCAACATATGGGCTGATGACCCCATGTAGGGATAAACTATTTAGTTTTCCTACCTTCCCATTTTTTTTCATCTGTCTTTTTAACAGGATAAGTGAGACACCAGTTCCACAGCCTGGCTTGCCCAGGTGGCGGTGCCAAGCCAGCGTTTCCACCATGGAAGGCTAAATTAGTGTACCTTTGAGTGCCAGGTCAGGAGTGATGGATGAGGCTGTCTGTCTTGTTTACAGAAATCAGTTTTGATTGCCGTCTAAACTTGGTACTATTGGTATTATCTCAGGCCTTTCTGCTCTGGATCTTCAAGGAAGAGAGTGAGATTTTTAATTCACTGAATTTTCTCTTGCTGTCCTACAGAATTTTTCTCAGTAATAGCTAAGTCTTCTTCCTTCTGCCCCTCACCTGTTTTTCAAACAGATATTAATTCGAGGCCCGGAGACATGAGGACTTGACTCTCACCCTTCCACCACTCTGCTGTTTCTGGCACAGGGCTCTTAGGTCCTTGGTTTCCACTCAAATCTTGTAGTGCTCTTTCCACGGAGGGTGCCTTTCCCAGAATTAGGTTTCTACCTGGAGCTGGGATGTCCTAGTTGTCCTGGTGACCAACAGCCTTGTGCACCAATTACAGAGGGTTGTGGGTCTATAGATAGCCCAAGAAAAAAAATGTAAGGAAGCTCATTGTTTTTAGTAAAGTTTATTTTAAAGCTTTCTCAGTTTAAATGTCAGACTTCTGCTGTAAAGTATTTTATACAGCCAGAAAATGGTTTCAGTTAATTTGAAAAGCTTACTGTGGCTTGTTTGCCCTTGCCTTCTCTGCACCTCTGTGTTTTCAGTGAGACGCTTGGTTATTCTGGTTCTTTTGGATTATTTGTAGTACTTGGGGGAAAATGACTTCATAAAAAGTTTCATCTAAAGAGATAAAAATGGAAACTAGAACTTAAGGTTTTGCTAATGAAACTAGAGAGACAAAGTCTAATATAAATTTGGGAAAAATAAAAATTAGTTATGATTATTTGTTCTTTATATATGTTCCATGTGCACTCCAGCACCCATCATTGAGGAAATAGCTTATGTTCCTGAGGTTTCCCACAACATGTAGAGATTTAGGTATGTAATTTTCTCCTTCCTCTTACTAATATTTTCATCTTTTTTTTTAAAACCTCCAAGGTTCCCCCAGCAGAGATGTGGGACCTTCCCTGGGTCTCAAGAAGTCAAGCTCCTTAGAGAGTCTGCAGACAGCAGTTGCAGAGGTGACCCTGAATGGGGACATTCCCTTCCATCGCCCACGGCCAAGGATCATCAGAGGGAGAGGCTGCAATGAGAGCTTCCGAGCTGCCATCGACAAGTCCTATGATAAGCCTGTGGTAGATGATGATGATGAAGGCATGGAGACTTGTAAGTCTGTAATGACTGGAGGGGCTGTGATTACCAATGCTTCTATAGAACTGTGGTTCTTAAAGTGTGTTCCAGGGAACCCTCAAGGGTTCCCAACATTGTTCTGGGAGGTCTGTGAGGTGGAAGTGTTTCCATAACAGGAAGTTATTTACCCCTTTCCTCCTGTTCGCTCATAAATATGTATTGGGGTTTCCTGAGGCCGCATGCCGTGTGATACTGGATCAGGCTGAGTGCAGAGCAGGTATGAGAATTGTGTCTTTTCAGCAAGTATTAAACTAAAAAAATTTTTTTGAAAAGTAAAACATTATTGTTTTCACAAAATATTCTTGGAAAATATAGGTTTATTTTAAATGGAACTAACTTATATAACTATGAAACTTACTGTTTCTTAGTTATATTTTAAAACTTTCTCAGTTTTAATTCATTATATATTGGTAGATACAATCCATATGCTAAAACAATACTTGGAGATCAAAATGTTTGAAAACCACTGCTGTATAATGTCTGTAAAGTGATGTAAATAATGAATACAGGTTATAATTTATGATCTTAAAGATGTATTTTTTTTTGTATTTTAGGAATTAGTCTTAATTTCTTTGAACTAAATAAGCAGGATATATGTATTCATATGTGTTATCTCCAAAAGACAAAGTATTTCCCTTTCTTCCTCCCTTCCTTCTACAGTTCTGGGGGTTGAGCCCTGGGTCTTTGCACTGAGATACAGCCCCAGTTCCCCACCTCTTTTTTAAAAAAATTTGAGACAGAGTCTGGCCAAGTCATTAAATTGTGCAGGCTGGGTGGACTTGAATTTGCAATCTTCCTTCCTCAGTCTCCCAGAATGCTGGGATGATAGACAGGACTATAGCCACATGCCACCGCTCCCAGCTCAGATTACAAAATATTTCAACCCAAGATGATTGAAAGTCAAACATAAATATGAATGAACTAAATATATATTTTCATGATCCAATGAGGGAAAAAAAATAACATTTATGAACACATACAAATATATGTTTCAGCGGAGTTATGTTTAGAGTTAAACATTTTATAAAAATAACCATTCTACTTTAAAAAATGGAAAAACACTAATGCATTTGCTTCACTGAGCAAAGATTTTGGAATCCTAATGGTAAAAACTACTAATGTATGTTATTCATAACTGCTAGTTTCTATTTTAATTTTTAACCTCTAATTGTGACACCACCTACCTGCTTCTTATAGGAAAAGTTGGAGACCCCCATAGCTCAAAGTTCAGGCACAGACCAGAAATAATTAAATGTGGATGGTAAATTTCTTGCATTTTAACATTTGCATAGATTATGTGTATCACACATACCTAAGGAAGGTTGTGGTGTGAAGAAGAGTTTTTAAGTAAAAAGAACACATTCTGGGGAGATTTAAGACCAAGTTATATAATTTCTGCCTATAACCTGAATGTATTTGGGAAGATGAATACTTTGGCTATAAAATATTATGCAAAACACAACCAAGGGAGAATGCTGCTGCGTGCTCCCCCCAATTCTCCATCTAAATTGGGATAATTTTTTCATTATAATGAACAGTGATGTCAAATATATGCAACATATTCTTGCCAGATGAGAAACATATTTCCTATTTTAGCTGCCAAGCCAGGTCTCCAAGATCCTGAGTCATTGAGCTTTTGGCTCTGTAAGTTTTCTCCCATTGTAATAGTGGTTCCTTGCCATGCTAACCAATTTACTTGACAATTAGTAGATTTTATTTCTGTGTCTTGGTGTATAGTTAATAAAAAGTATAGTATTTGTCTCATCATCATATTATTTTTAAGCATCTATAATTTATGATGCTTCTGAACATTTGTCTTATTCTGGTTAAAGTGTTCTTAAATCCCTGTATAAATTTCAGTTTACTTACCTAATGTGTCACTTATTTCACATGCAACAGGACATGGAATACATATGAGTAGAAGGTACATTCTTGTGTTAGTCAGCCTCATGATACTGTAACCAAATATCAGAGGCAATGAGTTGCTAAAGAGAAAAAGTTATTTAGCTCATGGTTCTAGAGTTCTAGTTCTTGCCCCGATGAGGCGGCAAGATTGCTGTGAGCCTTTGGTACGGATGCAGGATGGTAGTACTAGGAGGTGTGTAATAGGACAGGCTGCTCATATCATGAACCAAGAAGCAGAAAAAAGCCAGGAATTGTGCTGCATGCCTGTAATCCCAGCTCTTGGGAAGGCTGGGATAGGAAGATTGTTGCAAGTTTGAGGCCAACCTGGGCTATCATAGTGAGTTTAAGGATAGCCCAGGATACATGGTGAGACCTGTCTCAAAAAAGAAAAAAAGAGCAGAAAGAGCCCAAGAACAAGGTGCTCGGTTCCTTCTGAGGGCACACCACAGGTGAACTTGGGACCTCCCACTAAGACTTCAAGGTTTTGTTAGCTTCTAATGGCACCAACCTGGTGACTAAGCTATTTACATGTAGACTCTCCGGAGTCTCCCACCAAGGTGGACGTATGCTTGGATTCCTTCATAAACTCAGTGTCCTTTTAAAATGGGGAAGAACAGGTTCTTGGTGGAAGTAACAGCATATTAAAATTTATGCATTCCCCCATGCTCAAAAAGACAATCAGTCAATCAATCAATCAATAAGCAAGCAGTTCTGGACAGGAGCTACAAAGACATTTGTGGCAGATTCCCTAGTAGGCCACACCTGCCACCATAGATGGCCATAGTTTTCAGAGTTCTGTCTTGAATATTACTTTTCAGACCAGGCTGCTGAGCTTTAGCTCTGACAAATGGAAGTGACCATTGTAAGTGTCCAGGGTGTGAAGAACTGTGGTAGGGATCATTCCCGGAGGTGGAAGAGCCTTGAGAGATGTCATCTGGACTCCCATGCTGGTCAGTTTGGGGTGTAGGCCAAACTAAAGCACCCTTGAGCTTTAGTTTCCTCATTTGTAAAAGTGAAAATGTGGACACATAGAACATTGATTTTCAAATTGTATTTGACCTCTGGTCAGGAGAGAGGCCTCCCCCTTCACCTCTTCGCTGCTTCTTTGCTCTTCTGCTTCATAGTTCCTGTGTGAATCACTTTATGATGCTGGTTCTTTACAAATTTTTTATTAAAATCGGTGGTTTGCTACTTTTGGGAGAATGTTTACCAAGCTCTGGTTTAGATGGTGCAGGTGGATTTTGAGGTCCCTAGTTGTTTTACCATCCCCAACAGTATAGCCCAGTGGTGGCGAACCTCTGGCACAAATGCCACAGCAGGCTGTGTGTGTCATTGAAAGCTCTAAAAGGTTTTCCATCACTGTCATAGCTGGTCACAGTCCTGCCTACTGCCCTCTCCCCTCCTATGAGGCCCATGAAGGACACCCCTGTGTCTGTTCTGACCCTGCAACACCAGGCATGGGGCTTGCAAATCACACGGTTGCACACATGTCAGAGGAGTTAGTGGGTGACTGTTGCCAATGCGCAGAAAGGTTGGGGACAGAGAGACTTCCAGTGTGGGGTGCAGGATGACAAGGACAGTCAACTGTACCTGTGGCATCTCACCTAGACCTGGCATGTACTAAACACTTCAGCAAGCTCTTTCTTTTGCTTAAAAAAAAGAATCAAGGGTGGATCACCCCTGGTGGCCACGAGACTTGCACCTTTACATCTGACTAAAATGAAAGGCTTGTCAGGCCTGCATTTGTGGGTGGCTTCCCCTCCCTTGTCTGTGCCCTGTGAGTCTGGGGCAGAAGATGGTTTCTGTTTTAGTGTGTGACTTGGCTTCAGCCACCTGGTAAAATCCAAATATCGTATCACCACCGAGCACTGCTCTGAGAGCAGGACGATCATCCTCGCAGACAGGATGTCCCACAGGATGCTGTGCCCTCTGCCAGTCCAGGGTGGGGTGTGGGCTCTAAGCTACTAACAGAGGGACTGAGGGTGGTTGAAGAGAACCGAGCATCACTGGCTGATCCCTGTCTCTCCTTTTCTCCTCTCCTGTGGCCCGCTCCTCTCGCCAAGGCAGACGCGTACAGAGCATGGTTGATTGCCCCTGTCAGCTGGGCGAGCCCTTCCCCAGAGATGATTTCATGGCTCTGAACAGGCTTGCCTCTTCTCTGCAGCACTGAAGTCATGCCACAGGCGCAGCACTGGGGGCCAGGAGGCTGGGGCGAGATCCATGTGGTGTCTGGTATCTGTCATCTTCTATAGCACTTGCGTTCTTCCCATGGAGATGGCAGAAGCCAGCGTTTTTGTCTCTCATTTAATCCATCTGGCCTCTCCATGTTGTGTGTGTCTGTCTGGATCAAGATGGAGCTTTGTATTCTGGGACCCATTATCTCTGAGGCCCTACCTGTGTTTGACAGGTCAGGGCATCTACAATCTGCTGCCGCTTCTATGCAAATGGCCTATGCAGCCTGGCTCTCAGCGAGTGGCTGCTGCATCCCCCAGCATAAATCACTTGCTGTAACTACCAAGAAAACACATACAATAACATTGCTTTGTTTCTTTTTTAAAATGCATAATCCTATTTGTTTCATAATTAAAAACTTTTCCGATATTTTAAGTCCCTTTACTAATCTAGTAACAGCTTTTGGGGGGAGTCGTAGAGAGGAAACACAGCAGAAGCACGTATCTCCTATGGTGGGTACTGATTTAAAAATATATAAAGTTAATAAATTTAAGATGGGAAAAATGGTATGGCTTCAGAGCATAGAGATATTGCTTTTGAGTAGTTTGCCATGTTTTTGTATAGCACTCTTAGGAGATAAAAGAAAGCATTGCCTTAAAGTATGCATATTTTAGGTTTGCAGTAAAGATTTGAAGAAATGAAACTTACATTAGTGAGGGGAATTTCGTTGTTTGCATATTCCATTTGATCTCTCAGATTTTCTACTTCCCACCATTCTGCCCACTGCTAGTCATCATCTATTTGAGCAAAAATCATGCAAGCTAAGTTTAATTTTATCATGACCAGAGCATATTAAATTACAGCAAATCTACTGTGAAAGAATTCAGGATATGGTTTTC